TCGCTCAATCTCTAAACTTATGTGTAACAGATACGATCGCAGAAAACCAAGAATTCAGCTCCTTGCTCACAAAATGTTGAGGTATCGTTACCTACTTCAAAAGAAGCAATATTGCAATGAATATGCTGAGAGTAGAACAAGACAAAGCAAACAAACCTCGTTTAAAGTTGCTGCGCGACGTGGATACCCGTTGGAATAGTATTTTAACCATGCTCCAGCGTTTAATTGAAATTGGTGATCCATTATTAATTACTCAGTGTAAACTATCAGGTGCTCCAGCTGCTCTTACTGTTGATGAGATCAAGATACTGGATGAGTTGGTCACTATTTTAAAACCTCTAGATGATGCGACAGTTCAATTATCAGGTGGGTCAAATCTATTTTTTGTTTTTAATTTTTACTAATGCCCTATTTCTGATTTCTAATAGGTGATCTATACTGCACAGCTTCACTAATTGTTCCTGTTACAGTGGGCCTACATATAACAATTCAGAAGCAGTTGGTTCTCTCAAACATTGCCAGAAATGTTAAAGATTCACTATTAAAAAATATTTGTAAAAGATTGTTTCCATATGAACAACGATAATGTGTACAAGTTGCGACTATAATTGATCCAAGAATGAAAAAATCTGCTTTCCATTCAGCTGCTAATGGTCGAAATGCCAAAGAGCTTCTACAAGAAGAAATGATAATGCTTTTAAATAAATCAAAACATCAAACTACGACTACTAATACTAATCCGAGCAATCCTTCTTCTTCTAGCAGTCTGACTGTCTCTGAGCCTGGTTCTTCGGTTAGTTCACTCTCTATTATTGAAAAAAATGACGGTGGGGAGTTATTTTAAATAGGCAACATAATTAAAAAGGTGTTTTTCATGTTTGTTTTATTTCAGGTAATCTCCTAAGCTATCTAGTTGAAAAGCAGAATGCAATAACAACCAATACAGCTGAATCAATTATTCTTGTTAGGCAATATTTAGAGCAGCCCAATGCTGAACTAACTATAGATCCAATCAGATATTGGATGGATATGAAAAATACAAATATGTCCCCCTTCCAAGAAATTGCTAAAAAATATTTATGCATTCCAGGTACTTCGGTACCCTCTGAACGGGTATTTTCCAAAACAGGAAATTTATTAACCACAAAAAGGTCGAGACTGAAATCCAAAAATGTCAATATGTTGATATTTCTCAGTGGAAACCAGTGGTTATTGCAAAAGAATTGAATAGAATTTTGATTCAATAAACTAAAAAACAGATTTATTTTGTTATTTTTTTTATCGATAGTTATATCGATACATCGATAGTTTTTGTTCGTTACTATCGATATATCGATAGTTTGATTCTTCGATAGTTTCCCACCTCTAGTTGAGACTCGTGATTTTATTTCAAAATCACATACTTACGTTTTTTGTTTTATGGGTCCCCTTGGCGCAGACATACTATCGGACCGCAACCTTTTGTTAGCTCGCACCAAGCTCCGACTAAAGAAAATAATCATAAAACGACTTTCAAAAAGTGCAGACGTACGGAAACTCAAAGTAGAAACTAGAGTGAAGATGAACAACGAACTCAAGAGTATCTCTGAAAATGACAACCAAGGAACAGAAATAGAAGACTTGTGGAATAAAATAAAAGTATCTGCAGTATATTGCAGAGGAGGAACTGGAGCCGGACTGGACTGCGAAGAGAAGAATGGATGACAGATCCTGGAACTTATGGAAGAGAGATGTAAGTCAATTTTTATTTTTTGTGTGCTTCTGAAAAAATGAAAATTGACGTGTCCGAGAGGAAGTCAGTTAATTTGAGAATAACAGGGCTAGAAGATTGTTTCTTATTCAGCCCATGGCAACTTTCACAGTGCCTATCTTGGGATATAATTATTAGATTTTCAAAAAAATATGCAGTTGGGACGAGAATCAAAATACTTTTGAAACAAGGTACCACTCGGCCCATCTTTCCTATATAAAAAAGAGGGGTGAAAGTCTCACCCCACCCAGGGGGTGTACACTAGCGAAATACCGATGGAGTCAAAAAGTTTCCCCCTTGAACAAAAATGACGAGTACGAGCGTTTTTTTTTAATCGACCCTAAAATACCTGAAAACGCCTCCATTTCGATGTTCGTAAAACACACTGTATAAAAGACTCGACAAGAACGTGACAGACACCCAGTTCGGATTCAGGAAGGGACTGGGTAATAGAGAGGCATTGTTCTTCATACAAGTCTTAATTAAACGAGCACGTGACGTTAACACAGACGTTTTCGCATGCTCTATAGATTTCGAAAAGACCTTCGACAAAGTTTAGCATAGTAAACTTATCTCCATCCTACATGAATCAGGAATTGACAAGAGAGATACAGAAGTGATATCAAAGCTCTACCTTCAACAGAGGGCCATGGTTTCAATCGAAAACGAAACACCAGATAAGTTCAGCGTAAGAACAGGAGTAGGTACGTCAGGGTTGCATACCTACTGTCGCCTCTCTTGTCCAATGTGTACTCAGAACACCTATTTAAATAGGCACTGGATAACATTAAAGATGGACTTATAACAAATGGAGCTGATAGCATAGATGATGCTGCTGAGGGCCTTCAGAGAATCATAGACCGCGTAGTGGGTGCATGCGACAGATATGATATGAAGATATACTGCAAGAAAACGCAAACGATGTTCATCAGTAAAAAGGATGTCGGCAAGTACAGTTTACCGCTAATAATATAGCTCTCGCAATGGCCGAGACAGTTACATACCTGGGCTGCAATCTTAATAAGGACTGGGACCACTCTCAGGAAATAAGAAGCCGAATTGAAAAAGCGTGAGAGGCATTCAATGGGATGCGAAATGTGCTGTGTAATCTATCTCTTACCATCCGTACTAGAATCAGGGCATTATGATGCTACGTCCTCTCGACCCTCCTGTATGGAGCAGGAGCATGGACACTTACCGATGCGTCATGCAAACGAATAAATGCATTTGAGATGTGGTGCTATCGTCGCATACTCAGGATCTCATGGGTGCACCATGTGTCAAACGAAATAGTCTTGCGACGCATTGATGGAGAACTGGAGTATCTAGCAAACGTCAAACGCAGAAAACTAGAATAATTTGGGTATATCATGAGAAACGAAAAATATTATCTACTTTAGATTATCTTACAGGGATAGATAGACGGTCGAAGATCAGTGGTCCGCAGACGTATATCGTGGCTGAAAAATTTAAGAGCATGGACCGGAATGACATCAACAACTTTGCTCAGAACTCCGGTAAACAAAGAAATATGGACCAATGTGATCCATATGCCTATGTTCAGAGGATAGGCCTATGCTCAGAGGATAGGCACTTTAAGAAGTAAAACGACAGAGTGAAAATGAGACCCGACACATGAGACCCATTGAACACCTCTCACTCATCTGCGAATCACCTTACGTAACAATAGATATAGTTAAGGCCGCGTTAATGGCCGCCATGTTTGTGATTGGTTGATTTTTCGAAACTTGTTTTAAGGTCTTTAAAAAAACGGCACATCAGAATTGGCTCAAATTTGGCATAAACATTATTTGATCGATTATCTACGATTCCTTAATTTGGTTATTCGATATTCAGCATTTTTTTTTTAAATTCAAAAATCATGTTCGCAACCACCAAAACAATTAAATGTGTTGGTGGTTGCATATTTGCATGTTTATCAAGCTTGGATCCGTGAAAAGCATATTTAATTGATAACCACGAAAAACTAAAAAAAGCTAATTGTAGAGATTGTAGATAATATATCAAATAATGTTTATGCCAAAGGATTTTGGAAATTATTGCGGATTTTTTGAGATGACCTTTAAGGTGAAAACAGTTCAAGCAATATCAAGTAGATGGCGCCACGGCTACATTGGGAGCATCATAATTGTATATGTCTTTCTCTGTCACTAAGTGTTTCACCGACAAACAGATTTTGTTTTAGACAAATAATAAAATATTGAACCCTATGTGTAGAGTGACGCAGTCGTCATTTTCAAAAACTAAATTTAAACATGGCGGCCATTAACGCGGCCTTAAACACATACCAATAGGTGGTAATCAAAACAGTTGCCTTATAAAATATTTAGGATCGGAAAACTATTCGTATGGACAACTTTGCCTACCTGATATCGAAAAATGAAATCTACGAATGTTTTTTGTAGTGGGCATATTAAATAAAAGAAAAATAAATTGGAACTTCTATTGGAATTTACTTTCAATAACCTAGAAAATATTTGCCGCAGATCCGTGACATCATGATTGGCTCCCAGAAAGTTAAGTTATAGGTACCTATAGAAACGGAAAAAGAAGGAAAATTAATTTCAAATCCAACTAACCCAGGCATAAAAAAAACTAAGTAAACCAATTTTCTATTGAGTATTATGATTTTCAATAAAGTGAATCCAATGGTTATACCTCAAAATATAGCCGCTGTAAAAAATCCCTACTAGGATATTCTTTTGTCCAATAATATACCAAACTCCAGATTCGGTATAAAAATCGGACCAACGAAGTTGAGCATTTCACAAAGCGGCAACCGAATAAGTAACGAATTGGCCGTATACAACTAAAATTGTCATTATATTCAGCTTTGCCCCACTGATTGCGACTTGTACAGCCAAATTAGGAAAATGAGGCCCTTGAATTATTGATATCGAATGAAAACCAAATAGTGAAAGAGAATGATGCATGAAACATTTCCAAGGAAATGTGCTTTAACAAGTAGCTTGAGAAAGTCAAGGGATAGATTTTTGAAAATTAAAAAATATATCATCAAAGAAAATATACAATATTTTCCAGAGTTATTTTATCAGTAACACGTAACGGATAGTTTTGAAATTATGCAAAGAACCTCATTAATATGGATGAGTTTCAACGTGGAAAAGAGGTTCTACTATATTCAACATTTCTTGCCTCGGTAACCTTGTCACATTAACCTTTTGAATGTAAATATTTTCAAATAAAATAAGTGAGAATTGTGTCTTACCTGTCTTGATGACAATTTGCATTCTTTTTTCTCTAAAAAAACTTCAGTATCGGGCCAATCATTCCATCCAATTAATGGTGGCGACGAGATCAGTAGCGACAGTACCCAGACACCAGCAATCATAATTAGAACTCGTTTTAGAGTCCTTTTTTGGGCATAATTAATCGGATCGGTGATGGCCCAAAATCTGTCCAAAGCTATAGCGCATAGATTTAAAATAGACGCAGTGCAACACATAACGTCCGAAGTAAGCCACATTTTGCATAGATGTATACCGAACAACCACTGTCCTACCACAGAGTAAATTACGTTTAAAGGAACAACCAATATCGCCACAGTTAAATCTGCTACAGCTAGTGATACTATGAAAAAGTTTTGGACTATGCGTAACGGTTTGTATGTGAAAACACTTAAAATCACTAAAATGTTTCCGACTATTGTTAATAAAATAAGCAGTCCTAGTACAAAAATTATGAGTAGAGCTTCCCATTCTGGTGTATCGGTGGCACCGAAGACAGTTGAGTAGTTTCCAAGTTCGGGTTCGCAGGAAATGTTTTCGTTGATGTCCATTATTTCATTTTTGAGGGTATGACTTCGTTTAGGTGTTATCGTTAGAACCTAGAACAAAATAAAAATTGTTAGGCACACAAAAACAAATACACAAAGAAATTGTTCATTATGGTATGCTATGTATTTAGGACCAGAGCAATTTTTGAGATATTTTTATTTTGCAAAGTCGAACTTTGAGTTTCTCAGAGATTATCGAAAGAAACAATGTCAAAATAAAATGTGATAGCGGAAAACACGCAAGGTCGTCAGATTGTTTAGTTAATCGCATGGCAGCAACTGACTGCAATCTGTCATTTCGTTTATACTTTATTAAATGAAAATCGACGTCGACTATTATTGAGATTTCATGAGTAGGTAGGTACCAACTTGTTGTGACATATGAAACTAAACTGAAAACACTAGTAAAGAGATGAAATCTTCTTTGCAGGATGTTCCAAATTCGTCGCAAACATTGTGTAAGATCGCCAGTCCCCCAAGAATTCACTTCGAAAAAGCGTCCGTCCATGTTCCCTTTATGGGTTAGTGAATTCTTTCTACTAGTTTATTTATTTATTTATTTGTTCACGGAAATACCAAATAATTTACAATACAATTCTACAACATACCTAAACATATTATAGGTAAAAAATAACAACTTGAATTGAATGAATTCCAAAAAACAGCGATAACTTAATTCGAGAACTATCTATTTAGTTAAGCAACGGTGACAGTATTTTTTTTAAGGCAACACTAGAAGCTAGAAGGAGAAACAAAGATTTCAATATTTTGGCTCCTTGAGTTGACAAACCTGAGCACTTTTGAGATCGACTTCATACCATAATTAATTAGTACTATGGAAGGGCACATAAAACAACTCAGAGCCTATCACCTACTTTGTAACCCCTTTTGTTAATGAATTAACTATGAGTCCATAATAAAACAATTAAGTGAAATTTCAAATTAAAACAGTGTATACTTCACAGTCAGTATTGGTTTATTCCAAAATATGAGATCAACTATTGTTGGTAAGACACCGTACACTTAATCGAAATAAAAGAATAATAATAATAATAATGATAAAAATGGCATAACAACAATTTGTACCTCAATATACCAATATCATCAATTTGACAGGAAAATATAAAGATTTACGTTTCCGGAAAACTAATTAAAAAAATTAAAAATATATGGTCAATCTCTGCAAAAAAATAGATATAAAAAAAAAGCTGTACCTGTAAAAAAAATCAAAGGTTGGATTATAAGTCGAATGGTGTACTTGAAGGAAATCCTCCGCTATATAAGTTATAAGAGCCCTGGTTTAAAAATTGATCAATTTTCGACGGCAAGATATTATTCAAGAATTCAAATTCAGAACATGTTGTCCAACCTTGACCCTTATTCAGATTACTTATTGATAAAATATATCAGAAGTTATGCTAACATAGTAAAACTAATAAACTAAAAACCAATTTTTTTTCGCCACTGTGTCAAGAATAAATTTGTACCTGTCGTGTCATATATTAAAAAAATTATCATAACTTTGTTAATCGACTGTAAAACTGATTAAAATGAAATAAAAGAGGTAAGTTAAGAGTAATTAGTAAAACTTATACAAGCCTCCATTCCAACATAAGGCAGATCCGGAAACCATCCATTCTCGTCTCTTGATATCTGGACGAAAGGGGCCATACATAAGAACTGGTAGATTCCAGCACAGAATCCAGGCAGAAAAGGGACTATAATCGTCGTCAAAGGTACAGCACACGTATTGACCTATGGGGTCTTGATTCTAGTAGGGTAGGAAGCGCTTCAAAGGTTCAATGTCAAGCTCCACGGAAATGGTGTTGATTTGAAAATGTGGCCTTTTTTGGAATGGACTTGTTGGGGAAATCGACCGCTCGAAAGACCCTGAGTAATAATACATTCCTTGAAAAGTTATTACTTATAAAACCTAAAATAATTCAAACTTAAATCAAACCGCAATTACGAGACTTTTTGATTCGAATTTTTCTTAAATCGACAGATAATTGCCACACGCAACTTTAATTCGTTAAACATGGCAACGCCCAATGGCCGGTAAAGTCCATTTTACAATGGACGTAATGTAACCGTAAAGACGTAACATAGGTCCTAAGCATGCGCATGTCAGAGTTATTTGCGTCAAATATGTTACCGGAAACGCAACGAAAGAGATGACCAATTCTCATTTCTCTTACGTTACGTTGCCGGTAACATATTTGACGCAAATAAATCTAATGTGCGCATGCTTAGAACTTATGTTACGTCTTTACGGTTACGTTACGTCCATTGTAAAATCGGCTTTAGAGTATCAATTTCTTACGGGCCAGGAAGTCCGGATACAGCGCTTCCTCTCCAGATAGCCACGGAAATTGTTGGTACTAACCAATATGTCAAATTTAAAAGAAAATGGCGCCCTCTAGTGTAATAATTTAATAATTGCTATATAATAAATGGTGGGAACCCTGTACTTTTTAAATGTTAGTCACCAGACTGTCAACATTTAAAAGGGTTATATATAGTTGAATTTGAAAGAAAAAAGGACAAGTAACTTTAAACGTTACAACCTTTCTCCTGCTCGTGATGAAATGAGACTAAAAAGAGCTGGACAGTTGATTTACTCTCCCAAGTGTTTTATGTAGGAAATAAGATCAGCTTCAAGTCTCCTGCTTTGCAATACATCAATATTCAAAAAAGTCCTAATCCTGTCTTTAGTATACCTACTCATCATGAGTTAAGCATAACTCGGCTACTTTTAGAAATCTATTCAGAATCTTTTCCAGGACTGCAATGTGAACAGCATATTAGGTCGACCAAACAGCCGATGCGATGCGAAGAGCTTTTTCCGGGTTATAATGCCGTGGTCTAGTGATATTTCTACCTAAACGTTGGGTCTACTGCTGCGGTAAACATCTTCAGAGGCGGTGTGGTAGCGGCCGAAGTATACTTGTGTAGTATTTATATTCCCCTGTTGTGTGTTCGTGTGTATCTTAGGTATTCAAGTCCTGTTAGATTTTGCGTGTTGATCCCAATGTGGCGGATCTTATGTATTGAGGTTTATCCGTGGCTTCCTCAAAATAATTGATTCCCTGGGAGAGGGTGGGTTGAGCCTGGTGGGGCTGGCGTATAGGTTTCCTTTTGATTTATTATGACGTTCAGTGCTGCTGAAATAGGTTCATTTGGTTCATGATGGCTTCTAGTGATGGCACTGATGGCAGTGACCTTTGTAGCTACCTTTGTTGTAGGGCATTGACGGTAGCCATTTTCGGCTGCTGGTCCCATTTGAAGTTGGATGTTGGTGTGGGCTTAAAGACTGGTTTAGGGTTTTTTGGGCAGCCTCCTGGTACGCGGCTGGGGGGGTCGCCGCCACAGGTTGCGCAGGTAGCGCTTGTTTCTTTTGGTTTTGTACAAGTGGCCGAGTGGTGATCTCCAGCACACTTTACGCACTTTGGAATCGCTTGGCATCTGGAATGTGATTGCCCATAAAGTTGGCATGTACGACACTGTGTAATCCTTGCTTGTGATTTCTGGGTTTCAACCCACACCTTTATGTGGTTGAGCTGGTTGCCTTTGAATGTTTCGGTTTCCGTGGCTGGTAGTATTTCTAGTACCAATGGTACTGGGTTGCCGTTGGCGGTGTACCAACGGATTACTGTCGTTGGGTGGAAATTTAGAAAAAATATGCGATCCTTGTCTCATCTAAAAAAATTCTCGGATAGCGTCTTCTTCAATGATTACGTAAAATTATACCGAAAAGTCTATCAGAAAACCATAAAAGCCGCCAAAGACATTTATTATAATAGGAGGCTGGCAAACTCCAAAAATGTTGCAAAAGAAACATGGTCAATTGTTAATGACTTGAGGAATAAGGCTTCTTCATCTAGCAAAATTCCTACTTCACCTGAGATCCTTAACGATTACTTTGTTGATGTGGCTAAGAATTTAGTGAATACCTTAACTCCTTCCCAGGACCCACTTTCATATCTCCCGAATGCTAAGGTGAACTTACACAGTTTCTTCTTCACGCCTGTAGTAGTTCCAGAGCTTCGCAGTACAATCAAAGATATTAAAAACAAATCTTCATCTGGGACTGATGGACTCACCCTCAAAATGTTCTCTAATCTTCCTGGTCGCACATTAAAACATCTTACTACTCTGATCAACAAGTCGTTTCTAAATGGAGCTTTTCCAAACTGTCTTAAGATGGCGATAATTATCCCACTGCATAAGGGAGGTGATAAGGAGCTACCTTCAAACTATCGCCCCATTGCACTCCTTCCTACGCTATCAAAGATCATAGAAAGATTGGTTAAAAAGAGGCTTCTATCATTTCTCTCTAAATATAATATTCTAACTACCAGTCAATTCGGTTTCCTAAGTAACAAATGTACTAATGATGCAATGTTTTCCCTTTTCAATAAGGTATACTCCAGCCTGAACTGCCACCACTCTACAGCCTCAATTTTCTGTGATTTCTCCAAATAGTACGGGATACGAGGCCTATTTCATCAAATCATTTTACACCGTCTTGCATTGTTATCATCAGTTAGATAACATGATGCTGAAACGCACTTGCGCAGTAAAATATATGGGAGTGGGGAATTTAGCTGATAAAAATGTTTGAGAAAATGTCGTCATAATCCAGGAAAATATACAATTTCACACCGTCTTGCATTTACTTATTAAGTTAATTTGTACACAAACAAAATTAGAATACCCTATGCAAGACATTTTCCTAGGGGTTTTCGGGTTGTAATATTAGATAGAAATTGTCAATTTTTCAGAGGGGTGAAATATCATTTCACACCACTCAATTGTTGATTTAGATTAAAGCTTGAATGTAGAATAGCCATTGGATACTGATGCAAGACGTACTGTGAGGGGATAATGGGCTGCAAGACAGAGGTCAATGTGTTGTCTTATGAGGGAGGGAGAAATCATTTTACACCGTCTTGCACTGGTACTTATGGGAAAAATAGAACACATTGATAACATTTTTAAAAATACAAGACATTCTAAATGGGAAGAAAGGACTGCAAGACGATGATGAAGTTGACTAATTTTGACAAGGGTCAATCTATCAGGTACAAAGGTGAATACTAC